TCTAGGAGTTAAAAAATTAAGATTACAAAATCTAGTGTTTCTTTTATTTACATGGGCATTAAGCTTTAAACTGTTCATGAGGTATTCAGGTACCTCGTCCCGAGTCCTTCTAAAAAGTAATCCACACATGTTTATGTCGGTCTCATTATAATAAGGCAGCCATTTCAATTCATTGAATAAAGGAACCAAAGAAGCCCTAGGCTCTGCATTTAATATGATTCTGGCCGCTCTTTTTTGAAGACGAAGTATTCTTAATAAATCCTCTTTAGAACAGGCAGATTGCCAAACGACACTAGCATAATTAAAAAGAGGCTTAATTGTAGCATTATAGAACAGAATTCGCTGTTTGCGCGGCAAACATTGCTTAATCTTATTCAGGATAACAATGCGTTGCGAGATCTTTTTACATATTTTATCAACATGTTCCTTAAAAGTTAGTGTGCAGTCAATATCAATTCCTAGCAGACGAACAGTGTCAACTTGCACGAGTGCTTTCCCACTTGAGGTATGAATAGAAAGAGATGTTGAAGGCATCTTACTTTGTAATCTTTTACCAGTAATTAAGATAGACTTTGTTTTTGACTCATTAGAGTTGTTCCACACAAGAGTGTAAAATATGAGACGATTGTACGAACGGCATGCAAATTAGGATTGGTGTTAATACCTTCATTGTTTAGAGGGACTATACCGATTGCTAAAAATATCAATAGACAATTTTCAAACATTCGACTATAAAGGTTTTACTAATGTTATAGATTTTTCAACAATTTTTGACATGCTAACAGTAACAATAATTTTCCACGAACAGTATCACATTTGTTCTAAAATTCATCAAGCTTTTTGTCTAGTTTTTGCAATACATTGTTCATTAAATTCAGGCTTGATGCAGTCTGCTGGCATATTGACACATGTGCCTGTTGAGCTTCATAACTAACTTCTCTAAGAGTTTTCTTCTTCTTGTTCTTCTCCTTCTCGCTGTTCTCATCGCTTTCACTATCATCACTATTAGACTCAACAAAAGAACCAAACTTGCGCTTAAGTCTTTCTTCTGGGGTGCTATTTTCTGCGTACCTCATTTTTTTCTCCACAACTGCACAGGTTGACGTCGACGTTCTGTACGATACTGGCGCCTTTCCCTTTGGCCGTACGTCTTAACATGAAGAATTTTGTGCCGTGGAAGTAGTCGACGGTGTGAAATGCTGAGGCTGTGTGGCTTTCTGAAATATTAAAGCTTGTACTTTTGTTTCTTCTCTGACAATTCSTTTGATCCTACGTTTCAACTTTTCTCCGTCCTCTTTTCTGTAAAATTCCATCAATTTCTGGTTTACATTTCCACAGCCCACCATTTTATTTCTAGTTTCGACAACGACTTTGTTCCAACTGTCACCGTAGCGAACATATGCGTCCATGACCAACTCTTTCTCCCTCCCACAAACTGGGGGTACTGGAAATGTTCTCGTCAACGCTTATAACTTCCTCATCACTTTCTTCAAACGGCCTCCACAGTGAAATTGTGGCAGAATGATTTTTGGTCTATGATACACGATGTAATTTATAGTAATTTGTAAGTCTTCGAAACAAAAGAAGGTAAATATTCTGCTAATTCCACGACAATGCAACACGGCGTGCAACAGAGGTGATACTTTCTCACAGCATTTTTGCACACTATAGGGCATTCACATGCTAACATTTTATGGCACTTGCTCTTCCATGATATTTGTTGGAAATTAACAAATGTTTGTTTTCCAGATGGATCCTCAATTACGAAGGTTTGCACTTGGTCTATCAGTATTAGCTAGAGCGCTGAATACGTTGTTACTTTTGCCACCACCTCCTCTACATATCCAGAGCCCTGAAGAAATTCTTCAGCGAATAATATCCATTTCACAAATTATACATCAGTGTATTCTATTAATAATCTCGTTGGTTCCTCCTTCAGTCGTATCTGCATTGTCTCTCAGAGACAGACTGTTCTTTGATTTCCATGGTCACACATTTCATGGCAAAGATGTATTTTCCGAAATTGCACAGCAAAGATATCTCTTTTGGCTTAACACT